CCCAACACTCAGACACCGAGCTCACCTCCTCCAGAAACTTGGTCACATCGTAGACTTTGTTGTGGATGATGATCCACGTCGATTTGAAGGAGTTCTGCTTCTCTATCTCTGCCAGTCGGTAGTATTTCACTCCCGCGGAGCTTTTCTTCTCTTCACCCATCTGTGCGACGCTGTGGGAGCGACTTCTGAGGGCTGAGCAGCCTGTCCGAGGTTATATAATCCCAGCGAGGGTGTCAAGACAGTGAGTCCACAAAAACACACCGACATTTACCCCAGAGAGAGTCCACGCTAACTTCCAGCGCTGAGCAAACCCCAGCTGCTGAATTTACCCGAGCTCAGCGTCGCCTCCTGCTGCTGCCTCCAAAATAAAAGCCTTCTCCGGTTAGTGAAACGGACTTCTTCAGAAAGAATGGCAGTTATCAGCAAAAAGTATTTTATTTTCATAACCTTTACAAAATAACATTAAAGTTAAGTAACATAATGCTTCAAATGATTCCTCAAATAAGTGCCCTGATATGTATAGCTTATTGCAAATATGCTGGTGTACTAAACCTATGCGTTTTATTTCTTTATGTCGTTATTATCATTATTATGCTGCATTGTGCTTTTATTATGAAATACTGCTTTATAATTTCCGTTGTGTTCGTGGTTATTACTGGTTGCTTCATGATGGTGTCTCAAAGTTCCTGACACACTGGCGGAGACCGCCCTCCCCACCGCTCTCCTAATATGCTATTGGCTTTTCCTTCCCTCCTCCAGAATAATGGTCGTCTATGATTGACTCTTCCCGTGCCAGTCATCAGTGAGACTATGGGCGAGGACGAGGGCAAAGTTCGCCGGAGTTCATCGGCTGTCAAGGAAACTCACTTCTCACGCAAGGGTTCGGGTCTTCTCACGTAGCCCACGTACTGAGAACTTTTTTCCCTAATCTGAGCGTTTCAGCGCGCAGCCGGACATCCGGTTGTAGTCGCAAATCCCATTTGACCTGCATAACTTAGTTAATGTTGTCATAAGTTGGCATTCAGAGTAGAAAATTTAGACCATAGGTGTCAAACTCTGGCCCGCTGGCCAAAATTGGCCCGCAGCCTAATTACATTTGGCCCGCGAAGCCATACCAAATTATTATTAGAGCTGGCCTACTGGTATTATACAGCTAATATATATATCGTTTAGTATTAAGCTTTGCTTGTTCCATATTCCGTTTTTCAGCAAAACGTGTTTGAGTCCATAAGAAAAGATTCATTCTTAAATCTGGAGGAAGATTTATTTTTCAATAAATATTAATGTTAGCCCGCGACCTTGTTCCAGTTTTGAATTTTGGCCCACTGTGTATTTGAGTTTGACACCCCTGATTTAGACTGATACTGGAGCGGCTCTGCGGCGGGAAAACACGCGAAACCGAACTCAAAGTTCTTCTATTAACACAACTCATCACTATGCAGCAAAAAAAAAGTTTAAATCAGACAAAACATTAATCAGGCATCATGCTCCACTTGTTCTGTTAAGGAGTCGTTAACATGCATTTTATTAAATAGTTATTAATATGCAGTTTGTAAACATACACATATAAACGACCCCATCTTCAATAGAAAAGATTTATTTCACTAAACGAAGGAGAGTGAGAGTTCCTCTTCTTCTTCTCTCACCCATCTTTGACTACTGTTAAAGAGAGTTTTGCTAACCTTATATCTTGTATTTACGCTTTTTGAAATGCTTCTTTCTAACAAAACTTATTTCCAACAGAAGATAAGTTTT